TGGGGGGGGGGGAGGGAGTGAAAAAAAAAGAAAGAAGAGCTAAAAATTCAGTATCATTGGCCAGGCAACCACACTGATAAACTAATAATAAACCCCCAACCAGCCACACCACCCCCACAACAAAACACAATACTTTTTGTTTGTGAGTTATCCAATGCATTATTTTTTGTGATTAGCAGCTTAAGATGATGACACAAGAGTCAATTTCTCCCACATAATTACCACATTCCGGCTGTTCACACTGGAGCATATATCACAAAGTTATCACTATAATGAAAACTTTGTCTGTAAAGGGGTAAAACTCCCTCACTATATACACATTCATTTATCTCTACAGCATTACTTGAACTTTTCTCTTGTCTTTTTCCCCCTCATTCCACTCCTATTTCAAGATCCTGGTCACATTATGACCTTGCTATTTAAAATTCTTTCTTCAGATGTTCCCAATAAAATTATTTTTCATGTCCTTTCCTCGTTAATAATAGCTACTAGTCTCGGAAAAATAACTTGGGTGGGCACTTGGCATGCATTATCGTAATCTTCCTAACATCCCCGAGATGGGTATTATCATATTGCTTTGCTTCTAAATGCATTTTTTAAAAATCACATTAACATTTGTACAACCATGAAACATCATGCAATTGGCCACAGGAATGATAATTTAATGAGAAAATGTTCCCACCACCTCCTAAAAGGGGTCTTAAATTCAGAGGTCTTAGGAAATCAAGGCCATACAGTCGCATGCCCACATGAAAGATGAGCAGCTTGCCCAAGGTCACACAGTTGGAGAAGTACAGAGGAAGTATGTGACCTCGGTACTGAGCCAACTCCAAAGGCCATCCTGCGATCCTCTGTTCACAACACAGCACAGTATGTGGCATCACACAGCAGCCCAGGCACAACACGGTGGGCAATCTAATCTAATAATAGAGGAATATGTAAATTTGTCCATTACAGCATCATGTCACGACCAGATCAGCAGGTTGCATCCCCGCGCTCTGCTCAGGCAGCTGCAAGGCCCAGGGTAGGATAGGATACGACAGGAGAGGATAAGGAGGGAGAGGAAGGCAGACCTACATGCAGACAGGCTGAGAGGAGAAACAGAAATACAGAAAGGGAACAAGAAAAAGATGCAGGAATGGAAAAGGGAAGGAAACGCGGGTGGAGCAGGTGCGCCCGTTGGGCGGGGCGCAGGCAGCACGGAGTGGGGAGTCCCATCCAGAAGCGGGAGGAGTGTGGAGGACAGCTGAGGCCTTCTGGGCAGAGGCGCTCCTGCTTCGTGGCAGCAGCGCCCAGGGCCGCACAGGCCTCAGCCACCCTCACTGGGCCGGGTGTCCTAGATAGGGAATAGGAGCAGGGCAGCAACAGGGAGGCCGGGGAAGGGGGGACAGCGAACACCCAGCTGGGGCTGAGCTCTGGGCTGGGGATTAATGGCCTCCCCCAGCAGAAGCTTTAAGAAGGGAAGGAGGGAGGGAAGAACTTTATAAAGGAGTCAGTAGAGAGCAGAGTTAAAGAAGTAAAGAGGATGTGTGAGTGAACTGCAGGAACTATAATGAAAATCAAGTATAGTTGTGTATTGGGGACAGATTTTAAAAGTAGGAGTCAGAAAAGAAAAAAGATAAATGATAGTGAATAATTAGGCAGGTAGATATTAAAACAGTGGAAGTAAGTAGAGAAGAATGTATGGGAAAGGTAGGATGAGAGAGAAAGAGGGAGGGAAGAAAAGTTTTAAAGGGGAGCCAGTACTACTTAAAAGGAGAATGGGAAGGAGGAAGAAATGGGGGGAGGAAGCAAAGCAGGTCCAAGGAAGGAAGTAAAGAAAAAAATAAGGTGGGAAGGAAGGGAAAGGGGAGGGAGGGCAGGGTAAAGATAAAGGAAAGAAGGAATGTGGGGGGGGGGGGGGAGAAAGATGAGAAGAAGAATGATGGAACAGAAGCAGGAAATAATGAGGAAAGAAAAGTTTATAAATGAAGTGTCAGTAGGAAAAAGTGTTACATGAAGGAGAGAGAGAAATTGTGTGACAGGGAGAAGCCAATAAGAAAGTCAAATACAATTGTGTGTGAAGGGGATAAGATGAAAAAAAAAGTTAATAGGGGCGACCAGGCCAGCAAGTGAGGGCAGTTAGGGGGATCAGGCAGCAGGGCAGTTAAGGGATCAGGCTGGCACGGGAGGGCAGTAGGGGGGATCAGGCAGGCAGGCAAAGTGGTTAGGGCAGGCAGGCAGGTGAGTGGTTAGGAGCCTGAGGTCCTGGATTGCAAGAGGGATGTCCAACTGCCAGTTTAAGCCTAATCCCTGGGCTTCCAGATTAGAGAGGGTCCAAGTGGGGCTGAGGGACACCCCCGCTCCTGTGCACAAATTTCATGAACCAGGCCTCTAGTCAGTAAGTTGTCTGTTAAGTTATTCTCATTGCTATTTCCCTTCCTGATTCTTTCTCAAGTACTAGACTCATTCCAACAGCTTTCTTCCAAAAGACTCCTGGAATGCTCTGTTGAATAATCTGACCTATTTACAGCCTCATTCCTCAGCAACTCCCTTCCCCATATTTTAGTCTTTGCCCAGAGCCGCTCCTCCACATGGATTAAACCAACTTTCTTCTGCCTCCTTAGTAAATTTTATAATGAAAGCCTTCCTCAGGAAGTATTCCCTGATGACTATGATTGTATGCCAATGTAATGGAACCAAAGACCTAATGGTTAGTAACTGTCATAAGGTGACAAAATTGAGGGGAGGGAGGGGGGGACACCAACCAAGAAGGGATAGTCATTATTTCTCTTTCCCAAAGGAGATGCTATGTTAACAGATGGATTTTTCTTTAAGACTCTACTTAATATAAAGACAACAAAGGCAGTAAGGAAATTTAAGCATCAATAATTGCATACAAAATGAAAAATGTATTAATAGTGGAATCTAACATTTTTTATATGCCTACTATGTGGTAAGCATGATACTAGATGCCTTCAACCCCATTTCACCGAACGAGAAAACAGAGGCTCCAAGAGGGTATATAACTTGCCAAAGGTTGCAAAACACGTTAGGTGATGAACCTCGTCTGCTGAACTCTAAAGCCTGTGTTGTTTTCACCACGTCATGCCTCCAATACAGAGGAGAGGGGTAATCTGGAAGAATGGTCCCACAACTAAAGACTTAATCTATGGTAATTAGGTCAGCTCCCTTCATATGGTGAAAGCGCAATGCCTCCCCTCCAAAAACATATACCAGCAGGAGGGCAGGCATTGTGCCAGTTCCATCTCATAGAAGATCTGAGGATAAAGGAATCCCTTGGTTACTAGAACTCCCCCCAGGGAAGCAGGCCTCTTCCAGATGTGTTGCCATCTCTCATCCATGCAGTGCCATTAGAGCCAGAGGTAACTTACTTCTCACCTCTGCTGCTCTGCAGTGTCCAGCAGAAATCATGAAAAGTCTACAGAAAACAACTGAGGGCAGCTCAACACCAATTGTGCTAGTTTTAACATCTGTGTAAGCTGGTAAGAAAAAACTGGCAAATAGCATTTTTCTCTGCATCCCTTTACCTCTCTTCAGATACTTTGTTATTTAAAATACCCACTATACCAATATATTACCTAAATGACATACATTCTACTTTCTGCTTAGAAATTTTTCAGCAATATGGTTATCAGATTACAAATGAAATTACACCGCTACTGATATTATTAATCAAAACAGATGTCTGAAATCTGAAATAAACCAAATTTTGGCTATAGAAATAATGGCCATTGGTAATGCCACCTTGGATCCTGCAGGTCAACACCAATGAACTAAAAAAAAAAGCAGGCAGAGGCTTCTGAAAATTCTGCTCCTTTCTCATGTTCAACATGTAAAACTTGAAGCTAGCCATAGGCATACAACTACAGACTGTCCATGGAAAAAAAGTGTGATCAACGGGCACAGTCTTGGGACAGACAACAGAGTTCTCTATGTGGCAGCAACCATGAAAGGTGAATAGGATTTTCCTATGCCCCACTGCTGAAAAGGAATTGCTCTTACTGAGATCTACAATGGCTACCAAGTTTCTAAAACCAAGGTTTAGTTTAGTAGGTTGAATAATGACCACACAAAGACGTCAAATCCTAATCCCTAGAATTTACCTTATTTGGAAAAAAAGGTCTTTGAGGGTAAGTATTTTGAGTTTACCCTGTATTATCCAGGTGGGCCTCAATGACATTACTAATGTTTTTGTGACAGGGAACGAGGAGTTTGGAGAGACACACAGAAAAGGCACTCAGTGAAGATGGAGGTACAGACTAGAGAAATATGGTCACAAACACAGGAATGATAAGGTTAGCTACCACTCAAGAGGTAAAGAATGGATTCTTCCCTAACTCCTAGAGCAGCGGTTCTCAACCTGTGGGTCGCAACCCCTTTGGGGGTCGAACGATCCTTTCACAGGGGTTGTCTAAGACCATCAGAAAACACATACCGTATGTGCCGGCATATAAGACGATTTTTTGGCCCTGAAAAATATGCCTCCAAGTGGGGGGTCGTCTTATACGCCAGGTACACTTCAGATAGACTGCCCATAGTGCTTGCCCCGTGCCATAGTGGCCTCCCGATGCCAGCCCCCTTCA